CGCTGGGCGTGGCAGCGGGGGCGGGGCAGGCAGTTGTTTTTCTGTTTTGATGGAACAAAAAATTTAAGTCGCAACGAAGGCAAAACTTTAACCTCAGCTTCAGCTCTTCGTTTGCAATTAATTCACAATATTCACATCACGTCCGAGATTCCATCACCAAACAATTTCATACGTATTAACGCGATGTCGAAAGTGAAAACAGGGCAAAACAAAAACAACAACAACAACAAATAAACCAAACAAACAAAAAACATCCAAAAGTCACCCCCAATCCCAACTCAGTCGCCCCGCAAGCCGCAAGCGATCCATTCCACATAGGTTTCCTTTTGCCTTTGGTGTTGGCTTTCGTGTTCACGAAGCTGAGCTAAGCACGTGTTTCTTTCGTACACGAACTCGTTGGTTAATTAATTTTTCAATAACTTCTTTGCTTTCATTATGCTGGTCAAAAAAGTGACGAAAATCAAGCTGATTTATCGGAGAGTGAGGCGCGGCTGAAGTTAACCATAATGTGATAAAATTTCTCAGTACCAGACAGCAAATTAGGTATATCTTGTGCTTAAAACCGGTTCGATAGGCTCATTTTTTGTGACTGAAAATCGATAGTTATCGATTTGTAAAAGATTTTGTCGTCATTTGACCACATCAAGCTGTTAGACAGCTTAAGCTGAAAGTTCTGATCACGCATACTGTAAATAAATCGAATATAATCGTTTGTGCTTCGATTAGTTATCGATTTATTTGTTGATTTTGCATAGCTTACTATAATCATGATCGATATATTGATATATCGATTTATTCGATGTGCTCAATATCTGTGACTGAAAATCGATATTTATCGATTTATTGACATCAAGCTGTCAGACAGATTAAGCTGAAAGTTCTGATCACGAAAACTGTAAATAAATCGAATATAATCGTTTGTGCTTCGATTAGTTATCGATTTATTTTTTTTTGATTTAAGCACACAGCAAACGCTTAAAGGGATGAAAAATCATTAGCTAAAATATATTTTTATGTGGATTTAAACCTATCGGAATCTAATAATCGATATATCGATGTATCGATAAATTGATTGTTTGGTAGGCAACCATAATATGATACATTTGCTCATCTATGTGTACGATACGAGAGCCTGGACAGCAAATTTGTATATCTTGTTCGATAAGCTCAATTTGTGTAACTGAATCTCGATATTTATCGATTCACAAGGGAGCTTCGTGAATGAAAGAGAAAAGATAACGACACGCGCTCATCTCTAGCCCGGCTAGGGCCCACAGATTTGGTCTCGCTGATATGCATTTAGGGCCTGCCCTCGGCGAATGTGTGAAATGACAAGGTGGTTCAGGCAGGTGGAGCAGCCAGAAAGGGAAGACGGAGGGGGTGGGGGGGGGAGGTTAAGCACACAGACGCCGCCTTGCCTTAGGGGTCAAGATTCGAATCATTCAAATGAGTTCGATTTAATTTCATTAATTTGCACATACAAAAGGTATTGAGTTGGGCGAGGAGCAGAGCTGAGGCTACCATTCAAAAAATGTGCTCTTAATTTTGGTAATTTCGTAATCTCCCCCCACAGCAGAAGGCGGAAGGCGGAAGGGGGGGAAGGCGGGGGTATGCATGCTGCATGACATCATGAAAAATCGGCTGGGCAGCGATTTTTTCTTCATGATTTTCCATATTAAAGCGATGATGCCGCAGCAAATGTTGCCAGAGCAGCAGCAGAAAGGCTGGGAACGTTCTTTTCTATACACTGTTCGCGGCGGGGAAAGACGAGCATATTGAAAGTCTGAGAGTTAGTTAGATCCGAGCTGGGAAAGAAGTTGTCGCAGTGCATGTCTTTAGATCTTCTACATCCTTGAATTGGGGTTTTGGCTCACATTTAACTTATTTCCAAGTTTAATTTTAAATGCAGAATTCTTCTGTGGCTAAAAGATTTCTTTATACAAATACAATTTTTTGCCCTGTTCTTAAGTTTAATTGTGATTTGGAAAACTTGGCTTGCTTTAAGGTTCGGTTCGCGTTAAAAAAACTGATTGGAAGTCTGGGTTTGAACCGTTGTGGCGCGTTTTGCTGGTTCGCAGCTGAGATAAATGCTCGTTTCGACTAATTTAACCTTTTTTCTGTCGGTAAACAGAGTATTGCGGAGTCGTGTGCACTCGACTGGAATGTTCTCACTCGTGTTTTTCTTTTTATTTCGTATTGGAGCCTGGTAATGTGTCTTTCTATTGATGTGGCAAAATGTTTGCCCGATGACTGCGCAGGAAAAAAAAAGAAGAGAAAACAAACAAACAAAAAGCTTTGCCACTCGGCTGCGAGCAAATGAATAACAAACCCCAAATATCAGGCGTTGCCTACCCCCCTCCCCCCTCCACCTCTCGCTCCGTTTCAGCTCTCCCCTGTTGATGGCATAGGTTGGCCGCTCGGTTTCTGGCCCCGGCCCTGTCCCTGGCCCTGGCCCTGGCCAAGTGTTTGCATGAGAAGCTGTCAAAATGTTGGCAACGAAATTATTTTTGACATATGCCAAAATACGTGAAGGCTTCAACTGATGATGCGAGCGATGCGAGCCTGCTGGAAGGGGTCGGATTGGGAAGGGGAGGTGATAGGGGGTAGGGGGGGGGGGGGGAAGGTGTGAGAGGGTAGCGTATGCATGTGTGTGAATTTATTAAATTTAAATTAGCGAAACGCGAAATGCGTTCAGAAATTTATTTAATGTGTGATTTGAGCAAGGGAGAGAAAGAGAGAGCGATAGATAGAGAGAGAGTAAGTGAGGGAGAGAGAATTAGGGAGAGAAAGAGAAAGAGGTAGAGGTAGGCAGGGGAGGAAGAGATAGAGGCAGAAAGGGAGAGAGAGAGAGACTGAAAGACAGAGAGATAAACAGGGAGAGATAAAAAAGGAGAGGAAGAGAAGCGAAGAGAAGAGAAGAGAAGAGAAGGGAAGAGAAGAGAAGAGAAGAGAAGAGAAGAGAAGAGAAGAGAAGAGAAGAGAAGAGAAGAGAAGAGAAGAGAAGAGAAGAGAAGAGAAGAGAAGAGAAGAGAAGAGAAGAGAAGAGAAGAGAAGAGAAGAGAAGAGAAGAGAAGAGAAGAGAAGAGAAGAGAAGAGAAGAGAAGAGAAGAGAAGAGAAGAGAAGAGAAGAGAAGAGAAGAGAAGAGAAGAGAAGAGAAGAGAAGAGAAGAGAAGAGAAGAGAAGAGAAGAGAAGAGAAGAGAAGAGAAGAGAAGAGAAGAGAAGAGAAGAGAAGAGAAGAGAAGAGAAGAGAAGAGAAGAGAAGAGAAGAGAAGAGAAGAGAAGAGAAGGGAAGAGAAGAGAAGAGAAGAGAAGAGAAGAGAAGAGAAGAGAAGAGAAGAGAAGAGAAGAGAAGAGAAGAGAAGAGAAGATTTAAGGTTCAGACTTTGTTTTCTTCTGTAAATAGAAGCATTTCATAAGTAATTCTAAATATTTTATAAAGCCAAAATCAGCATTATATTGTAATAGGATAAGAGCATCATTGGTAACCCTAGCCAGGGTATTATAGTGTCACTATCTATGTTAATTATAACAGTACGATAAGTATATATCGATAATGAAGCAAATGTAATATCGATAAAGAAAAGCGGCTGCGGAGAAGAAGTGGAAGGCAGTCTCTCTACAGTACTAGCAGTAAGAAGACGTGTTGTTAAAACAAAAAGGCAACCCAAAAATAAGTTAAATCAATAAAGAAAATCATACTATTACAATATATATATGAATCATAATAATGAAATAAGTTTTAATGTTGCGTAATGGAAAATGATGATAATCTATTCCAGCATAATATTCTAATAAATTAAAATTCAAATTTAGGATTGAATACCTTCGAAGATATTTGAGAACATGTGAAATTCGCCGAACAGCTTTTTCCTAGCAAAAACTAGACTAGAATAAGTAAATAGTTTGCATTAAATTCGACGAACTTAGCTATGGACTTCTATGGACACAATCAAAAATATGTGTACATACATATATAGGGTATACTTTCTGGGCTCAAAGTTGTCTGCTTCCCATGATATGAGCATAGCATAATACCCTGTATTCAATATGGCATAAGGCTTCAACAATTGTGGCTCAGGATAAAACGCACAAATTCAATTTCGCCTGCGAAGCGTTTCGATTGTTTCCCGATCAAAATAGCTCCAGTTTATTTGTATAAAAATGGGTTTGTTTTAGTTTTAGATTTTTTTTGTTTTTGTTTTTTTTTTTTGGTTTTGTTTTTGTTTTGGATCAAGAGCAAATAAATGAAGTGAGCTGCAAAGTTGAAAGCATTCAGCTCCGCTTGCCAATCGACTCGACGCGCCAAAGGCCATGCAAAGCAACTTCACAGTGTGGCAAAGACAACAGCAGCAGCAGCAGCAGCAGCCGGCGTTGCCGGACTTCAAAAAGGAGTTGCGTTTGCGTGGCGTTGCCAATTACTCAATGGGATGAATGACACCCAAATGGCCAATGAGCTGACAAGGCAATGCATATGCAGTATGTCACACACACACACACACACACACGCACGCACACACAGCTAAAAGGCTAACGGGTAACAGGTGAGCTCTAGCCTCAGAGGGTGTGCGTGTGCGTGTGTGTGTAATATGCAGCCAAAAAGCACACACACACGCACACACACACACACACACACATACATGCACACGCACACACACAAGCCAAGTGGCCCCTTGAAGTGCAGTCTGCGCCCGCTCTCACGCTCTCTCTCGCTCTCTCTCTCTCGCTCTCTCCTTCGCTGTGGCACTCGCTATTGCCGTCTCTGTCGCTGGCTGAAGTGCTTGGCAAGTAAATTGGAAGAAACAATTTTCAGGAATGACTTAACTTTTGCGTTTATGTGAAAACTTTTGGCAACGTGATGTTATGCGAACGCCCACTTGCTGGCGGCAGGCGGCGGCGGAGGGGGTGGGGGAAGGGGGGCGTGGTAGGGGGAAGCAGTGTATAATGTAGGGCATGCATATATACACACACACACATACATATATATGTATATATGGCTGTCTAGTTGAAGCGCAGCGAGAGGCTCTGATCGAGATCCAGGTCGCGTGTTATGTAGCCCAAATCGTCGCAGTTGATGCAGCCCTTCTGCTGCTCCAGCTGCAGCTGCTCCAGCTGCGGCAGCTCCACCTGCTCCCGTTCCCGTTCCTGTTCCCGTTCCCGTTCCCGTTCCGGCTCGCTGTCCCGCTCGGGCTGCTCGAGGGCCTGGGCGGCCATCAGCTTCTTTAGCTTCCAGCGCATCGAGCGGAGCTCGCGTCGCGTCGCCGGCAGCCGGCCGAGCAGCTCATCGCACTGATCCGCACTGAGCAGCCCATCGGCGTCCGTATCGTACATGCCCAGCAGGGATTGCAGTTTACGCTGCAGCGGCTCGCTGCGCCGAAAGCGGGATAAGCCGTGCATGAAATGGCGAAAGCCCAGCGATGGATGCAGATACACATCGACCAGACGATCGGCAAGGGGATGCGCCGCCACCGGCGGCACCTTCAGCAGCTCGCTGCGCAGCACCCGGCCCTCGGTGTCACGTTCCAGCGATTGATATTGGCCCAGCAGATAGTCGATGCGCAGCGGCGAGAAGCCCGATTCGTTCTGGATCTCCTGTAGCTTCTCAGCGCTGAGATGGCGCGATGCGACGATGCCCATTGGGAGAGCACAGAGCACAGAGCACAGAGCACAGAGCACATAAATGGCAACAGCACGACACGGCACGGCACGGCACGACACGGCACGACACGACACGACACGAAAAAGACAGCAGCAGCAGCAGCAGCAACAACAACAACAACAGCTCCAACAACTCCAACAACGACGACTTTCTCACTATATTTAGTCAAGATTTGTGACTATTCTCTGAGAAGCAGAGAGAGAGGCAGAGAGAGGGCGAAAGAGAATGAAAGCAGCGAGAGAGTGAGAGTGAGAGAGAGAGGAAAGAGAGTGTGTGAGCGAGTGCGAAAGCGACTGTGTGAGAGAGCGAGAGAGAGAACGGTCTAGCTTTTATTTTTACCATTTTCTCTTAGCCTGCCCATGTTGTTGATTAACAAATGTCATTCGATTCTCATCAAGGCTGCAAACCGATTTGATATCGAACTAGTTCGCGCCTGGAACCGTGAACCGAACCAGCAGCAGCTAAACCAGGCGAGCCTGTACCGAGAAAAGAAATGACACAAAAAACAATTTGAATAGATTTATTTGAACCAAACTAAACGTATAAGGAGAGTTGAAAAATTAACCAAAAAGCTCGGAAAATGCGCGAAAAAGAATCTTATAGAACTTTTGAGTCTTTCAACCAATCGACTTGAGTAGAGGAGTAGACTTAAGAGATCGTAATTAAATATTATTTAAAACATAACAAATTTGACATATATCTTTATGCTAGCTTGTTTTCATATACGACTACAGTTTGGAAAACACTTTAGTTTTTACAAGCATCTATTTACAGCTTAAAGCTCCCTTTAAGGCCTCAAATTATTGAGTTAACTTCAAAAGCACATATAAAACTCTAACAAGGCTGAAAGCTCTACTTAAAGTAAGCCTGATCTGGCTGTAAGAACTAGGTTTAATATGAGCTTTGCTTATAAAGCACACTTATAGCTTAAAGCTCTACTCAAAACTTAATATATTATATGCAATACACAAAAAGTTCACTAAGGCTCCACTCGAAGCTCAATAGATACAAACTAAACATACTAAAGCTCAGTTAAAGCGTAAAGCTCTACTGAAAGCTTAATCTGTGTATGCCAAATAAAACTCTCTTAAGGCTTGAAGCTATACTTGAAGCTTAATTGATGTGTGCTCAACAGAAGAAAACTCACTCGACTCAAAGCGTAATATATGTGTGCACATTAAAGCTCGCTTTAGAGCTTAAAGCTCTACCAAGCTCAATTAAAGCTCTACTTAACGTTCTACAAAGCAAAGCTACGAGCTTAAGGCGACAAGCTTCACTTAGAGCTTCAATGCAATCAAAGCTCACTTAACTTTAAGCTCAATCATTAGCTCACTCTCAATTCAATTAGTTGCGCTTAAAGCACAATACGCCGTTGTCTGACTTTCTAAATGCTTGAATTGTCGCTAAAAATAATAAAGATATATTACGAGTTATTTTACGAGCGGCCCACGAATTTTAGGGACACACTTTGCTTCATCCCGGATATGAAAATTAAGTTGTAAGTGCAATTTGTGTAACTAAATAAATGCACGCGACGGCAGGGGACCTGGGCTGAGGGGGTGGGGAGGCGGGAGGGGAGGGGTAGGGTGTTGATGTGCAAATCGCACTTTCGCACTTTCCCTCTCTTGCATTCTCTGCATTCTCGAAATTCGTGTCGCGCACGCTTTTTTGTCTGTTTCACTTTGCTGGTTTTTGCGACTGATTGCATTTTTATCCCTTTACACACAAAATCCATGAAATATGCACACTAACTCATGCGTATTTTATAATAATAAAAGCGCACAATGAACAGCCAAAGAGATGAGCGCGAAAGACAGAGAGAGAAACAGAGAGAGAGAGAGAGAGAGAGAGAGAGAGAGAGAGAGAGTGAGAAATGTATGTAAAATGAACAACGAAGAACAATGGTACTTTTTATTAACTGCATAGCAGCAAGTACCCGTTACCCACTAACAGTTAAACGGTACTCGCTGCTCCTTAACCAGTATACGCCAGTCATTATCCGATATCCGTTACCCACAAACCGTTACTCGCTAGCCTGTACTCACTACTCAATACCCGCTACCTCAGTACCCGTTACTCGCATGTCAGTAACCGCTACTTACTACCCGTTACTTGTTACTCGTTACCTTATATCCGTTATCCGCTACCTCAGTTCCCGTTACTCGCTAGCCTGTACTCAATACTCAATACCCGCTACCTCAGTACCCGTTACTTGCCAGCCAGTCACCGCTACTCACTACCCTTTATCAGTCACTCGTTGCCATATCGCCATTAATCGTTACCCACAAACCGTTCCCAGTCCACGCTACCCCTTAACCAATACCCAACACTCGCTAGCCAATATTCGCTAGCCCATTCCTGTTACTCGCTTCCCGTTATCCGGTGTCTGCTGCGCGGTACCAGTTATTCGTTACCCACTACTCCTTAACTAGTACCCGTTACTCCCTAGCCAGTACCCAGTACTTACTATCCTTCACCTATTACGCGTTACCATTTACTCGTTACCATTTACTCGTTACCATTTACTCGTTACCATTTACTTATTAAATGTTACTCGTTACCATTTACTCATTAAAAGTTACCTGTTACCCATTACTCGTTATAGGTTACTTGTTAACTGTTTCTTACACAGTACTTACTAGCCTCTACACATTACTCGGTACGATTTACTCATTATATGTTATTCGTTACCATTTACCATTTACTCATTAAATGTTACTCGTTACCATTTACTCATTATATGTTAATTGTTATCCAATACTCGCTATCCGTTAGTTTGTTAACTGTTACTCGTTAACTTTTACTCGCAACCCCATCGTTACTCAATAGCCAGTTACCGATACTTTCGCTTACCCGATACTCGTTACTCTCTAGCCGTTATGTGTTACTCGTTACCCGTGCCTCTTAGCCAGTAGCGGTTACTGCCCAGCTAGTACCGGTTACTCACTACCCGTTTACCGATATCGGTTACCCGCTACTCGTTACTCGTTACTCGTTACCCAGTAACCGCTACTCATTTCTCAACACCCGCTACCCAATACCCGTTACGCGTTACGCGTTACCAGATACTGACTACTTACTAGCCAGTACCTGCTACCCACTACCCAGTACTTCACACTACCCTACCCCGCTCAATCTATTCGTGCATCCACCCACGCCAAGCGATGCATAGACTAAAGGTAGCAACGTTTGATGCGCTGACTGTCAACTCGTCGCCACCTCGACACTGGCTACGTGTGGCTGTCACAGGCCGTGGGGTGTCGCAGGTGGTAGCTGCTGTCAAATCGGTTGACACGTGTGTCTGTTAAGGTGCCAACTGACAGAGAAATCGCTGGCTGGCGCCGCGGGTGGCAGCTTAGCGGCGCAGCTTATCCACTTTGCGTACAGATGTGGCAACCCTGGCCACCTGGCATCGAATCGAATATGGCATGCATAAGCAGGCTACTTGACAATTGCTTAATATTTAACGCGACGCGGCGCAAAGTGCATCCTAAGCTGATCCTTTGCCAGAGTTGCCACAGCTGCTGCAGCTGCTTCGGCTGCACTGGATCCGCCTGCCTGCTGATTGCCACTGCATCCAAGCGATCCGAGCATCGTTATGGCCACAAAGCAACGCACCGACAGTCGTAACTCAATCTATGTGAACTACCCATAATTTAGCTAGCCAATTTTACATTGTCACGAATACCCTCATTGCGGGTACTTTGAATTTCACATTGGATACCTAAGATACGGTTGCCAGCTAACTATTTGCCTTGATTTACAGACTGACTGACTGACTGACTGATTGACGGTGTAAAAGCTCGAAGACTGTAGCTACCTTTAAGCGTTTTGTGCACAAATTCCACACATTTGTGTGGAAAATTAGTGGAAATTGATTAAAGGCTCGTTCTAGCTCGTTGACAGAGAAATTGGTGAAAATTCATTGTAGATTTATGTATAAGGCTGTATGCGCAAAAGCTCTATTTAAAAGCTCTTTTGCAAAGCTTTTCAAAACAGCTTTACCGAATACGAAGTCACCCGCAAGGGTGGAATATTAGCGTGAAATGAAATAAAATAAGTACGGACATTAAAAGATTGCCCGTTTATTGTGCTCATATTTTCCTTTGAATTCACCCGCGGCGGCGGAATATGAGCGTAAATTAGCCTGAAAATTAAGTAAAATGAAATAAGAACGGAAATTAAAAAGGCGCTCGATTAGTTTAACCATATTTCCATATGTTTTAGCACAGAAACTTGGTTTCAGAAATTGTTTGTATAAGATGGGAATATCATAATGGAATTGAATTAACTCTCTCAAGATGTAAATATGATTTTATTATTGTTATTATAACATTATAACGGAGTTGTAAAAGTAAAGAACGACAAGCTGGTTCGATAGAGAACTGAGCTGTCAATTGTGATCATCGAAATAGGATAACCGAAAGGAAGGATTAGCTAGATCGTGTCTCGGAGCTGGCCTAAGAACCCGATTGTGACTAAGATAGTGTATTGAATATTCGTTAGAAGTATTTGTGCCGCTTGTGCCACTTTCTCAGCTTATTCTTTTTTGTCACGCTTCTGTTTGCATCTTTTGTTCCATTGGTCGTCGTCTTTTCCACTTACTTTTCCTTTTGCATTATTGCTTTTCATGCATTTGCAGCAGCTGCTTAAACGTGTTCCAAATACGCAATACGCCTCGCCCCGCCCCCTCCCCTCCCCCCTTAAAAAAAGGAAATATATATAAATATATATATATATATATAGAGAGAGAGATAGAATTTGGTATGCGAAATTGGCATTCGCCGGCGTCCCATTCGCTGCATACGAATGAACATTTCGCCTAGCTGCCTGTTTTATTAGCCGTCATATAAACCAGGCTATATCCGCCCCCCCCCCTCCTCCCCGACGCCCCACTTTGGCAGCCGCCCACCTGCTGCAAATTGTCCGGCTGTCGGGGCCAACGTTGCGAATGGCTGCAGCAAATGACAACGCACAG